AGGGAGGCTCTTTTGGTTTTTTCCCCCATCTCCGGTGTACCAGCTTTTCACTGAATCTGTTTAATATTTGTTTATTTAATGAAGACTCAGTGAGGGCATCACATAGCAGACACTGGACTACGTATACAGTCTTGAATGAGGCATTAACAGTCACTGCCTTCATGGAGCTTTCAAGAATAAACAGTATGACTGGGAAAGTAGATGAACTAGCTGTAATTAACTCTGATAAGACGTATTTAAGGAAGGCAATTGAAACTAATGAAAAAAATGAATATTAGGGGGAAATTTTGGACTTGTATCTACCTGTTCCATTCCAGGGTCTCCCCCTACTCCAAATCCTTTAGCTGAGAAAATGCATATATACATATTAACATGTCCCCTGTCAATATTTCTCATGTAATTGTCCTGTAGTAAGTATATCTTGAGGTATAATATATTGAGAGTAGGAAAATTCTCTTTAACACAAAACATCCACTGTCATCTTCATCTTAATATTTATCCTTTTCCATTGTACTTTCAGAAACAGAAATAAACTTCCTGCTCAAACAAGCACTCACGATTGTTGGAACTCTACCATTTACTTACATGTTAGAGAAGTGGAGGTGGATGGTCTTTAAGGGTGAAATTCCCAAAGATCAGTGGATGAAAAAATGGTGGGAAATGAAGTAAGTAAATGAATGTGCAATCGGTAAAATGTTTTCTCATGAGTTTGCTCTTAATTTAAAATCATTTGACTGGCATGAACACACACACACACACACACACACACACACACACACATACACACACACAACTGTTATCTGTATTTCATTGCCTGAGGGCTTCCTAAGGCCACCTGAATCCTCAAATGTCAGAAAGGGCTGAGGAACTAACACTGCCCCCGTGAGCCTTCACCCAATGACTGAGGGGATTTAGTGGATAAATACCTCAGCTCCCTTGCCCTCAGGTGGAATAACTCTTGAGATGAGTGCTCCACACTGAATCCTAGAGTTCCGCAGTGGGATAAAGCTCCAATTACCTGCGGTGGGAATTTGTCTGATAACACACTTTTTGGGCTGCTTCCTTTCCCTGTCTCACTTCCTCACTCCTTTGCCAATGTTTCCTGGAATCATTTTCCAGGGCCTTGCCTCAAGATCTACTTCTGAAAAAACCCAATCTAAAATGACTAGGATTGGGGTTCCCAGAGAGTGCTTCATAGTCAGGATAACTGGGATTTAAACAGGTAAATCTTGAAAACTGGTGATGTGGGATTAAGTATGTGAAAAAGAGAGAGAAGTGTGTTCAGATTAGGGGAATACCATCACTCACCCCCACCCCCAGCACACATGAATGGTCTCCTTTTTATATTCTTAGTCTCCATTGGGATGCCATGTCTTCAGATAAAATTTCCTTGGCTCTGCCCCTACCTTGAGTCAGGTGACACTGTTCATGCTCTTAAGTGCTGGATCACTCATTAAACTGTGATATTATTTAGGAAGTGATCAATTTTTTTATTCATTTTTATGTATTCTTTTACTCATCCTTTTAAACAAAATGTTGACCCCACATTTTAGGCAAAGCACTTGGGATCCAATGCTAGTCATTTCAGGTGTGGTCCCTGACCCCCAAAAATATTTACTCTGTGGCAGGATATGGAAAACTAAAGCACTGCAATGTATAGTGTCATGATGGGAGGTTACAGGGTCCATGTATGTCTAAATGGAGATCCAAAGCCCAATTTGGCAGGAGGTTAGATGAGGAGAGGCATCTAAATTGAGCCCTGGGAAAGATGTGGGAGTTACCCAGGTGTGTGTGGAAGGAAACAGAGAGAATTCCAACCTAGAGAGAACCTGGCACATTTGCGCAACAGACAGTGATACATTTCAATGGTTGTAGCACTACATTACTCACTACTGTAGCCCAAGTGCCCTGCACTGGGCCTGGCACATGCAGGTATGAAATAAATGGGTTTTGGATGAAAGAACTACAAAAGAAAGAGAGAGAGAATCTATTTTCTTTCCACCCATCTGTTAGACCCCTGTCAATTATGTTTTTCTTTGTTTTTCTTATTTTTCCTTTTTGAAGTGAAGATCTCATGTGTAACATGCAGTCCCACATCCATAGGTTTAAAACAGTACCATTCTTCTGTCAAGATTCTATTAACAGAGATAGCCACATAATGGGCTTTCTGATTTTTTACACTGTTCTATTTCACCCAACACCCAATTCCAATATAAATACCATTGACTGATGAAACTGCAGCAGTTACACCCAACTCTACCTACTCATGATGGGTGACCCACAGCTAATGTATCTTTTTCTTTTCTTCCCAAAGGCGAGAGATAGTTGGGGTGGTGGAACCTCTGCCCCATGATGAAACATACTGTGACCCTGCGTCTCTGTTCCATGTTTCTAATGATTACTCATTCATCCGGTAAATGAGTTTTCTTCTATTTAACTTCTAGGGTTTGTGGAAAGCTGTGCTAATAATAAATAAAGATCAACAAAGTGATAATTATAATTTTTCTTTTTATCTTCATTCCCCCAACCCCAAGCTCGATACAGATGCTCCTTCACTTATGATGGGGTTACATCCCAATAAACCCATTATAAGTTGAAAATATCTTGAGTCAAGAATGCATTTAATACACCGAACGTATCGAACATCATAGCTCAGCCTAGCCTACTTTAAATGTGCTCTGAACACTTACATTAGCCTACAGTGGGGCGACGTCATCTAACACAAAGAACATTTTATCATAAAGTGTTGAATATCTCATGTAATTTATTAAACTCTGTACTGAAAGTGAAAAACAGAATGGTTGTATGGGTACTCACCATTAATGTACACAGCTGAAAGCAACATTGAAAGATCAAAAAACAACCCAAACCATCCTAAGTCGGAGACTGTCTGTATAGATGATCAATTTCAATACAATTTAACCCAACATGATTTATTGGGTTAAATAAAACTTGTGTGAGGTCCTTCCCTCATTATCAAGGATTCAATAGTATCATTGGAAAAAATAAAAGTATTTTTGTCTTCTCTTTACTGGCAGAGTTTATCATGTAACAGAAAGAGAATTTTTAACTTGATGTCCAGAAACATATGTTCTTCACCTATTAGTCCTAGACCTTGAACAGGGAGAGAAATGGCAGAGAAGTCACAACTAGAGAAGGCTAAGGGAGATGGAGGGGTTAACTGTGCTGCAAGGTGGGTAGTTCAGTTCATGCCTGGAGAACGAGGTTTGACCAGTATCTTTTTGGTTACTTGGGCCCAAGAATTTAAATATATACCCCAATCTATGACTCTGATACTGTAACTAAACCTGACGCTGCTTTTTTGTTTCTTTGTCTCTTGTACAGATATTACACAAGGACCATTTATCAATTCCAGTTTCAGGAAGCCCTTTGTCAAGTAGCTAAACATGAAGGGCCGTTGCACAGATGTGACATCTCAAATTCCACCGAAGCTGGGCAGAAGCTGCTGTAAGAAATGCCTCAAAATGTTGAACCTCTCTTAGTACCTAATATTAGTCATTTCCATGCCTAGGTTTGAATTTGGTTTCTTTGTTCCAGAAAGAAAAATTTGGGCTTCAAAATATCCTCATCTACAACGTAAATGTTTAATTTGTGTTCAGACAGGAACCTATACCATGCAGTGGCTGGACAGGACACCTCCTCTTTCCATGTCATAACTACAGAGCTCCCTTTGCAATGATTGAAAAGAAAGAGAGGTGGAGGGATGAATACATCCATTAACATGCCTTATTTTCTTATCTGCCAGGAGCGAATTAGTTAAGTCAAAGAGAAGAAACCAGAGATCACAGATATAAATATATGTACATCTGGAATCCCTCAAAAGGCCCTGCATTTCTCTTTTTTTATGTAGTAATATGCTGAGCCTTGGAAAATCAGAACCCTGGACCTTAGCACTGGAAAATGTAGTAGGAGCAAGGAATATGGATGTCACACCACTGCTCAACTACTTTGAGCCCTTGTTTACCTGGCTGAAGGACCAGAACAGGAATTCTTTTGTGGGCTGGAACACCAACTGGAGTCCTTGTGAGTACAATGAGTTGACATGTTTTGCATCTGCTCCCTGTCTGCTTCCCTTAGTCTCCTTTGGTCCCAGTCTCATGAGGGCTGTGACACAGTTGAGTAGGTTTTCCCTCTAGATATAACCTGCTTCTAACGCCACCATGGTGGCAGCTGCCATTGATATCTTGTTATTGGTCAATTTTAGACCTTTGCTTCTGCCTACTCTTCCACTTCCATTTCTCATTCTCCCAGTAAAGCTTTATCATGATTTTTAGTAAAGCAGTTATCAATGTTTATTTACATCATTATGCCTGCAGAGCCAAGTAATATACTATTTTGTGTCCTTTCTTAAGTGACTTATTGTTTGTCCCCAAATTTCTACTTGCCTCAGTTTTTTGGCATACCAAACTTGCTATCTATGTTGCATTCGTTTTTGCCAAACAACTCCAACATGTCTATTCTTTCCAGCTGCATTTTTTTTCCTAGAGACTTCCCTCTTGGAGTCTAACATCCTCCTGTCTCAATCTGGATCACAGTTTTCATCCTGAGCAATTCCTTTGTTGTTCTTCTGGGTTGAATCCACTGCTTCCTAGATTCCTCATCTTCTTTCTTGGATTACCTGTTGTTTTTCTGGAGCACATGGGGTAGGAGGATCAACTGTTCTCCAAAGCGGTTTTAACCACACTCTGACTTCCATTTCCCTTGTTTTCAGCCCAGTATCTTCTTCCACTCTCTGCTGTACAGGAATCCCAAACCTATCTGGGATTCTCTGGCTCTTTTTGGATCTGTTTGTACACATTTGGCCATGGCTTCCTGTCCCTGAGAAAGCAGTTACCCCTCTCCCATCATTTCTCATTTTCCAAAAGTGTGTTTGTACCTTTAAAAATATTCCTTTATTATAATTTTAGTGGGATCTTGGGAGGAGAAGGAAATAAACACATGTGATTGGTCTATCATCTGTAACTAGTAGTCTGTGATTTCTCTTTAATCAGATGCTGACCAAAGCATCAAAGTGAGGATAAGCCTAAAATCAGCTCTTGGAGATAAAGCCGTGAGTGCATTTTCATTATTTTTTCAGCTCACTATCTTTTCTTGAACAGGACACAATAAACCCATTCCAGTGTGGTCTAAAAGAGTAGAGGCCACATGGTTCTCTTCACAACTACGAGGCCCAAATTCTGGCCTTCAGCTTTTGGGTTTCTTGAGTCACTCATTCCTTTTTTTTTTATTTCAGCATATTATGGGGGTACCGATGTTTAGGTTACGTATGTTGCCCTTGCCCCCCCCGCCCCCCTCCCCCCCTAAGTCCGAGTTTCAAATACGTCCATCCTTCGGGTGAGTCACTCATTTCTTATTGGCTAGGCTATGCCTACTTTTTACGTATTACCTCGAAGGTGTTATGAAAATCAATGAGAAAACATCCGTACCAATCCTTAAATATCAAATACCAATCCTTCCAATCCACTCTTGTCACCGTTATTTGTATTCAGGGAAGAGGACATGGTTATATTTTGAGAGGTTGTGTTTAGAAGCAGCGTGGTTAGACTTTTTTTTTGCTTTGTTTTAGTCAATCATATATACCTTGGGTTTACTCAGAGTGTGGCCCATGGACCACTAGCATTCAAATCACCTGGATGCTTGTTAAAAAACGGAGACTCTCAGGCTCCAGCCCTGGACCCACTTATTCAGAATCTGCATTTTAGCAAGCCTCCAGGTGACTTGTATACACAAGTAAAGACTGGGAAGCTCTGATTTAGGACACTGCTTCTCAAACTTGGCTGCACATTGGAGTCACATGAAAAGTTTTAAAAATTAACTGCCTGGGTTCCACCTCCAGAGATTCTGATTTAATTGCTCTGGGGTGTGGTGTCAATCGTTGGGCATCAAGAGGTTTAAAAGCTCCCCAGATGATTCTAATTACAGCAAAGTTTGAGAACCACCAATATAGGGATGCATTTTGGGGTAACAACATGTCTTATGGAAAATCATATTACACCTTTATGTGAATTACTTTAATAAATATTGCTTTCCCCTGGACACCTGTTTTCGGTGATGCAGAAGTAGTAGCTTTGATTAGGAAAGAAGGGAGGACAGGATAGTCTCAGATAGGTGGGGATGGAAGGCCTGAGTGGGACCATGGCACCTTGAAGGCTTTGCAGGGGCTACAGAAAATTGCTGTCTGCATTAAATAGGTCCCAAGATTGTGTTTCTACCCCCTTACTTTTCCTGAAAAGTTAAATATTGTCCAAGACTCAACAATACTTTTAGTATAATTTTCATAGATAAAACATCAAAATATACACAACACAGTAGGAGTAAAAAAAAATGAACATTTAAGAAAGAAACAATAAAAATGGAAGTGCATTGCTTCCCAAACTCTGAGAGTTCAAGTTCTTATTTCTTACTAATCATTGAGTATCTGTGGGATTATTTCTCTTTTGGTGATGTGTTTATTAGCTCTTCCTTGGCCTAATAAACTTTAATTACTCCTGGCAAATCAGGATCCTTTTCAGTTATCTTTTCTTTCTTGACATTTGTCCTCATGTTCTCTTTCCATGCAGTGGGGGATTCGTAAATAAATAATCTTCAGAGGGTTTGATGGTGGAACGTTCTGAGGCCAATTGACTAAACAAATGTCTGCTTTGAGGAGGCTGGAACAGTACTTTTAGTGCATCCACACAGCAGGGCCAGAACATCTGCCCCATTCCAGCTATTCCATGGTGAAATCCAACCAGATCGTGAGGGCATTATTTTGAGAACTCAGCCCTTAAAATTTTTTAAAATATAGAGATAGTAACAGTATTAATATTATTATCACTATTAATGCAACTGCCCCCTCCAAACCTGAGAGAAACCAAGCTGAAGTGAATGCAACATTTTTTTTGTGTGTGTTTGAAATTTTATAATTTTTTTCCTAAAAGGGAAAGGAGAAACAGAAACCTTCTGCCATTCATTGATCTCTGCTGCCAGCTACTGGAGGAAAGCGTGAACGCTTTCTTCTCTCTTTTACGAGTGTTTAAAGGCCACGCAAACACAGGCCATTTGTTTAGCATTGGAAAACAAGAACAAACAGATTATCTTGCTGTTGACAAAGTGTTATTTACCCTTTGAACTTCAAGTTTCTTTCTTTTTCTTTTACACTTATACAGTAATATCTGAGAACTTACTATAAAAATAATAAAAACTCAGTTTGTCTTTAACGTACAGACATTTTAAGCAAAACCCACAACTTTTGTTTGACGCCCATCTATAAACCTACCCTCAGGGTGTTTATTTCAGTTTACATCAAAACAAAGTAAAAGGATCAGTGAACCTAAGGGTTCCTAAAGCGTGGATGCCTGCCAGCAGCATTAGCACCACCTGGGAGTTAGTTAGAGATGCAAATTCTTGGATCTCATCTCAGACTTTCTGAATCAGGCGCTCTGGGGGTGGGGCCAGCATGCAGCGCTTTAACAAGTTCTCCAGGGGATGCTGACGCACACTCACGCTGAAGGTCGCTGACTTAATGAATAGCGTGAATCTTTGGAATATTAAGAATAATCCTGGAGGAGTATCAGGTTTTAAAAGTGTCCTATGATCCCTACTGAGCAGTGTCTTTCTTCTGAATTTACAGTACGAATGGAATGACAATGAAATGTTCTTGTTCCGGTCATCTGTGGCATATGCCATGAGGGAGTATTTTTTAAAAGTCAAAAATCAGACGGTTCTTTTTGGGTGAGTTGATTTGCTGGGTTCTCAAGTTACTCCAACCAGCACCTCTTTTCCTCTTGAGTCTGAGGACATATTCTGCTTAAACTTTTCTTCAAGTGAAATTAAGAAAACTTCCTAATAACTTTTAAATTTCCTTGGCATCCTGGAAGTTGGGCGACTCCACTGAGGGGTGATTGTGGCTTATTTGACTTGTAGATTGCAAGAGCATTGTTCTTATTAAACAGCTCTCTCTTCTCAATGCTCTCACCCACACTAAGGCCTGAAAGAAAATAAGGCAGAACTCTCTGCCTTCATTGGGCTTTGTATTCTAGTGTATATGTGGTGTGTGTGTGTGTGTGTGTGTGTGTGTAATATATATGTGACATATAGTAGATCTCCCTGGTAATAAATGCTAGGGAGAAAAATATGTCAGAAAAGGGGCTGAGGAGTGCTGGTATGTGTGTGTGTGTGTGTGGGGGGGATTCCATTTTAACCAAAAAGGTCAGAAAAGACCTCACTAATATTTGAGCAAATATGTGAAGCAGGAGAGCAAGGCAGCAATGCAGACAATGGGGGGCAGTGTTTCCGTGGGGGAAACAGGAGGTGCAGACCCTGAGGAAGGAATGCCCTTTGACGTTGAAGGAGCAGCAAGGAGGCCAGTGTGGCTGGAGCAGAGAGTCTACTAGAAGATGAGTAGATGTGGCCAGGGCGGAGCTGGGGCGTGGGGACAGGAGGAAGAGGAGAAAGTTCATGTGGGCCTCGAAGGCTGTTCTAAGGACTTTGGCTTTTATTCTGAGTGAGATGGGGCTGTGAGCCTAATGATCTGCCTTAGTTTTTACTAGGGTCGCTCCGGCAGCTACGAGAGCACAGTCTTGTCACATCATAAAGTAAACCCCACACATCACCTTCACCCATGGGTGCAACATGATATTTTCTGCTAGGTGGGGCCAAGTTGGGGGTGTGAACACACCATCTCTGTCCCTGGTACTGAGCCATCTCTGCCCACCAGGTTGTTCATCGCAATCCTGGGCTGCCAGCGATTCCTTGCTCATTCTCCTGGCGCTGTCACTTTGAAATTTTTCCATCATTGAAAAAAACCTGTGTTTTAAGACCGGGTGCGGTGGCTCATGCCTGTAATCCTAACACTTTGGGAGGCTGAGGCGGGAGGATTGCTTGAGGTCAGGAGTTCGAGACCAGCCTGAGCAACACAGTGAGACCCCATCTCTATAAAAAATAGAAACATTAGCCAGGCATGGTAGCGTGTGCCTATAGTCCCACCTACTCAGGAGGCTGAGGTAGGAGGATCGCTTGAGCCCAGAAGTTTGAAGATGGAGTGAGCTAGGCTGAGGCCACGGCACTCTAGCCCAGGCAACAGAGTGAGACTCTGCTAAAAAAAAAAAAAGTGGGTTTTATATGGAGGCAGAATAAATAGTGCCAAGACTTGATACCCCAGCTTTTATGTAGTTGATTTCATGTGATTGGGTCAGTGTTAATTTTTTTGTGTGTGGTTATATTCCCCTGTTACTCACTGTGCACCATGTCTCTCTACCCTGCAATCCTCTCCCTAATCTCCTTTTCACCAGCAGGGGAAGTCTTCATTCTCTTTATCTGTGTCACAGGGAAGATGTTTCTTTTGTTTCTCCACAGGGTGGAGGATGTATGGGTGAATGATTTGAAACCAAGAATCTCCTTCACCTTCTTTGTCACTGCACCTAATAATGTGTCTGACATTATTCCTAGAGCTGAAGTCGAAGAGGCCATCAGGTGACATTTTACTTTTAAACAAACTATATGAGGGTGAGGGACACATACAACAACAATAGCTAACATTTAGTATGTTCTTCCTGTGTGCCAGGCATTGTTCTAGGTCATTGAAATGTTTTACCTCATCCTACAAACTTGGGTTTTAATTCCAGAAGGATTCCATATCAAGGGAATTATCTTGATTTGGGTTCCCCCAGATGAAGGCCCTTAGACAAGGATTTGAGTGTAAGTAGTTTATTTGGGAGGTGAGGCCAAGAAGCACTGATAGGGAAATGTGGACAGGAGACAGAGAAGGGAAAGAAGACAATAGATTACATGTTATCGAGCAAGTTACCATGTGGGCAACTAGAGCTCAATCGTGCTTGGCAACTCTGGGAGACTGAGTAGAATGTGCACTCGAATTGTCTCATCAGAGGGTTGAGGGAGCTGGGATGTTGATTCATCACCTCCCATCAGTCATTGGCTGGGAACTGTTTCCAGTTGGCGTTAATTCCCCAGCATTTCTGGCCTACCAGGCAGGGCAGATCTCATAGTCTGAGAATGCTGTCAGGCAAAGGGAAGCAGGTGTTGGCTGAAAGAAGCCTGGTTAGCATGCATGAAAAATACTAAATACAGAAGGTGCATGGAGAGATATTGCCGTCATTTGCTATAGGGACTTTGTTGTAGGAGTCATTGAACTGCCCAAAGCCTGAAACATGGTGGGCAAGCACAGGATTCCTTAGACATTGATTGACCTCTATGCTAGGAGAGGGACTTGCTATGAGCAGTGAGTGTTTGGAGGAGATAGTTTGTTCAATTTGCCTCAACTGTTTCCCATAACGGACAGCAGGAGTGAAGAATTGATCAACTTTATGATGGTTCCCTTTGTCATTAAGAAAAGGCTTAATATACCCATTGCTACTGGGCAGCTCACTAGGTGGCCCCCTTGAGCTGCATGAGAGTCCTGTTTGTCTTTGGAAGTGGATATAACACCTGTTGGGCAGGGTGTGCCTAGAAAAATCTGGCTTGGTTGGGGTTTATGACCCAACCATGCCCAGAGACTCACTCACTGCCTCCAAAAGACTTGTGTCTATCTTGGGGAAAAGTAAGATCTTCACTAAAGGCTCAGCCCTCCTGGATACCCAGCTGCAAGCTACAGGGGACCTCAAACTTTCTGCTTCCAGGATGACTCTTTTCAGATCTTTTTAGGCTAAGGTTGTTAGGGCTTACATGGCCAATTCTGCTTTGACCTCTCTCCTTCTTTGGTGGAGTCTGACCCCCTGACCTAGGCTACACCCAAGGGTAGGAAGATGAGATGCCAGACACTTTGGTCTTCAATCTAGAATGTTCTCCATTTCACCAATTTTTTAAAACAATCTTATCCTTTTGCTTCCATAAATTTCAGCCATTTCCCATCCCAGTGCTGAAGAAGTTGGCAAAGGTCCCTTTCCTGTGTTCCTCCCCAGTGCTCCCTCCAAATGCCAACATCTTTTATTTGGAAAATACTACTGCAGAGACTTGGCTATAGGACCTGATTCATTTGTAGAAGAGGTGTATCCAATTATCCTTTTCCCTTATCTGATATAAAGTCATTGTAGATATACTCTGACAGAAGGGAAATTCTTGCCAAATATGCTATCTTTGCCTTTAAAACACAGTAGTCACAAATGAACAAATGCCAACCATTTGCACGTTTCCACACTTGCAACTCAGTTTTCCCATGAAGCTGTTGACAAACCTAATCTAGGTTGCAAGATATGAAGGGTACATAGAGGTCAAAAACTCATAGCTTTCATTGGACCTGATAATCTCCTTTGCTTTTATTATGATTTTAGGTATACATTCTTCTGATAAGCCTTATCAGAAGCCTTTTGGGAGCAATGATGTAAGGAGTAAATAACTACATGCAATTTTATTTTGCCAAGTGTCCCCTTTGCCGTGTTTTGCTTTTGCGAATAGGAAGTCTCGGAGCCGTATCAATGATGCTTTCGGCCTGGATGACAATACCCTAGAGTTTCTGGGGATTCAGCCGACACTTAGCGCTCCTTACCAGTCGTCTGTCGCCACATGGCTGATTGCTTTTGGAGTTGTGATGGGACTGGTAGTGGTTGCCACTGTTGTCCTGATCTTCACTGGGATCAGAAATCGAAAGAAGTAAGTGACCTTTCCTAGATTTCTCTTTCCTAAAACAGAAAGGTTTAGGGAACACTAACTGGAAAATTTGCGGTAAGTGGTAGGTTGTATAGGCCAATTATTTGGTTGGACAATTTTGCACCTAAACATCCTAATGCATCCCCTAGAAATTTACCAGATGTCTTCAGCACTTCACCTTCCTAGCAAGGCCACACAGTAGATGTCCAGCCTAGGGTTTATTAGCATGCCATTGTAAACTCCATCCTAGCCACGATGTCAGTTCCCTACTGCAAAGAGGCACTACAAACTCAGCAGGGGTGGGTGGGCTCAGGGGATTGTCTGCATTGCTGAATCCTCCTTAGTCTAGAAGTGACCCTAGAGATTGGTGATGGGTTTGAACTGTGAAATCATTCAAGAATGAGCTCTGAGATTTGAATCAAATTGCTACTCTTTAATCACCTTCATTTCTCCTCAGGTAGTTCAGATTCCATATCATCTCCTTAGTTCATGGTTAGGCATCCACTAATTTGTTCTTGAGTTGAAGATCAAAGTTCATTGAGGATTTAAATCACTAGAGACCTGATTTCTAGTCTGGCTTTGCCACTATTAATAGATGTTTTGTTTTTTTTTTCCTGACCTTGAGAAATAATTGAATTTTGGGGGCTTATTAAATAAAGGTTAATAATATTGTATAGCACCTAACAAAACTCTGTACACATCTCGGGTTGTTTAAACATGTTCTTGATTGAATCTCTATTTGTGCTAGTCTATTTTACTCAATTTTCTTCATTACAGAAATTTTTAGTTCCCCAAAATAGCTTCATTTAAAAAATTAGGCATTGAGTAGGTAATACATTCATATGGTTAAAATAAAAAATATATAAAAGGGTACATAAAGAGTCTCCCTGTCACCTTTTGCCTTCAAGTTACCTTCACAAAGCCAACCAAAATTATCAGTTTCTTGGAGATACATGATATATGTCCTTTTTCAGTATACAAATTTTACAAGACTATATGCAATGTTCTATATATTCTTTTATTTTCCACTTAATGTGTTTTAGAGAATATTCCATATTAGTTGCACAAAGAGCTTCTCTCTTTTTTTTTCTGGCACTGTAGTTTCCCATTTTATGGATGGATCCTCTATTAATGAACTTTTATGTTGCTTCCAAATGTTTGTGTTTGTAAAAATGTTGCAATGGTTTAATATAGGTAATTTCCTGTGTGTGCCAACATATCTGTAAGATAAATCCTAGCAGTGGGAGAGCTGAGTCAAAGCATATGTGCATTGCTAATTTTGATAAATATTGCCAAATTGCCCTCAATAGAAGCTGTGCCAATTTATACTCATATCAACAATTTATGAAACTTCCTATTCTCTCTACACCAGGCTCCTTAACACAGGTTGCCATCAAGCTTTTTGATCTTCTTCAGTCTGGGGTTTGTGGAAAGTATCCTTGTAACATCACTATATTAAGGTGACTTCATTTTATTTAACAGGAAAAATCAAGAAAGAAGTGAAGAAAATCCTTATGCCTTCGTGGATGTTAATAGAGGAGAACATAATCCAGGATTCCAAAACAGCGATGATATTCAGACTTCCTTTTAGAAAAATCTATCTTTTTCCTTCTGAGGTGATTTTATTGTGTGCAAATGTTAATTTCAAAGCACAGAAATATGAGATTATAAAGATGTCATTAGATATCAAAACTATGGCTCTGTTAGGAAAAGTCCAAAGACAACACGGCTGAGGAGGAGGCACTTTCATTGACACTGTTTTCAGTATTTATTTCTGTTTTAGGATTTAACTTCTATTTCCTAATAGGAATGTTTATATTAGAGAATAAAGTGTATCTTTGGCCTCGCAGTCTGTTCAGGGATAATGTAAATGTAAATGTCTGTTGAATTAGGGGCTGATAAAAAAGAGGATATGTCACGGGAGCAAGCATTGGAACTTGTATGGAATCTGGATGGCTCGCTTGTAAGGACAGTGCCTGGGAACTGGGGGAGCTGCAAGGATTGAGTATAGCACACACTGTTCAAGTGTTAAGGATGACATACTTTCTACATGTTAATTTAATCCAAGTACTATAGTGACTTGCCCACAGTGATGTTTAGAATGGACCATGCTTTCTTTCTTCAGGGTGACAGGTCTAAAGAGAAAAGAATTCAGAGAGCAGGTAGAGGACATTGTTTTTTCACTTTCAAGCTGCTTGATCAACATCTTCCTGACAACGTGAAAGTAGCACCAGGTGTCTCCATGAACTCCCAGAGCATGTCTGATAGAAACTTGCTTCCATTGTTCTTTAATGGTGGAGTGAGTGGAAATTTGAACTGAACATTTTACCCTCTGAAGTGGGAACCCAATCTCTTAAATCTTTTGTGTTTGCCCACAGTGTCTGAGTAGTGCTGAGCGCAAAGCAGACACTCAATGAATGCTACATTGACACATTCCTGTGGTCTTATGTGTACTTCTGTGCTGGGGCCTCTGTCCATTCTGTCTGCTTTTCACTTCTATGGACAAAGTTGTCATCTGAGTGTCTGGGACCCTTGATCTCCTGAATGTCTTGGATGTATCACAAATTCTCAGATTGTGTTATTGTACAAAACAATTGTAAAATCAATCCAAAAAATGTTGTGTTCGGGAACCAAACCTGATACTGTTTTCGTATTTCTCAGAGTCCCTAGCCCAGTTCTGAGCACAGGATCTACTACATACCAGAAGATTGATTAAAACAAGATTAAATAGATGAACATATACAAACTCTACCCATTAACTCACTCTATATGGTGAGCAGCATAATGTCATAGTGACTTTGTATTTAATAAATTCTATACAATAATGGTAATGATGGATCAATTAGCCAACTCAGGGGAGGAAAACTTTTACAATCCCTTATAAAATAGCCTCAAAATAACTAAATCAGTCTGGGTCATTTGAGGCTCTTTGATGTCTTTCAATTATCTGATACTGAGGTAGCAAAGATAGAGTGCTTTGTCATTTCATGAGATCCATGCTCCTCCAGTCAAGTTTCCTTATCACCGTCTGCATCACCATCTTGCCATCCATTGAACCCACAACTTTGGGCAACATACGATAGCATTTTCTCCTTGGCTAATAACCATCTCATCAACACCTTTTTCTTTTCTCTTACATATGTCCCATCTTCTCCAATATATCATGAAAATCTTTTGCCAAGCTACTGCTACCTAAAAGCTCTTTGTAATTGCCACATTCTCGTTATGAAGTTCCCAATCCTTGTCTTGGTCCAACACAGTGCAAGAATAATCTTTACAGGAATCAATTTCATCACCTAACACCTTCAAAAGAATCTCCCCAACCATGGCAAAGGACCCATGGGCATGTGACACAGTGTCCAGCCATAACACAGAAATTAGAAAAATCTCATTTCCATAACTTAATTTTGGGGTTTTCATCAGCACGGTCCTCACTTTGCCCACCAGGTGAAGGCGTGCCCCTTCTCTTGTGCAGCAGCACCCTCTGAAAGGATGGAGACTCTACAAAGAGGGTCCTGCACCTGGGCCTAGGATAAGAGTCAACAAACTATGGCCCATGGGCCAAATCATGCCCACTGCCTGTTTTTGTATAGCCCATGAACTAAGCATGATTTTTACATTAAGTGGTTGAAAAAAATAAAAAAATATTTCATGACATGAAAATGATATGAAATTCAAATTGCAGTGTCCTTAAATAAAGCTTTATTGGAACCCAGCCACACCCATTCATTTTCATATTGTCTATGGCTGCTTTCACACTGCAAAGTAGAGTTGAGTAGTTGACATAAAGACAGCAAGCATGGCCCACAAAGCCCTTTATAGACAAACTTTGCCAACCCCTGGGCTATAAGGAAGCAAGGATTAAATGAAACTACAAATGTGAAAGGGCCATTGTGGAGCTCAGAAACACAAGGAATATTTGTTCGTGGAATCTGAAGCCATTCACTGAGTGTTTCCTTCCTGGGAATTTAACTATTTCTTACGGGGTGGTGAGTGGGGTTGATAGGAGGAGTAATCAGGTCAGAAAAGGAAGATGCTACCTTCCCCCTTCCCTGGGGTCTCTCAATGAATTATTCTCTCTCATTTGAAATCCATTCCCCTCCCAATTTAGGTAAAGATGAGGCCTTAGGTCCAATTTGTCTTCTTCATAAACCTGCTCTGAAGTTAGAATGAAAACTGAGAAACTCAACTTTCTAAATCTATGTTGGAATATTTCTCTTAATTAACTCAAGTAGATTTGATATGAATTTTGCCAGACCCCCTTGACTTTGTGTTTGACTTTTGGCAGGTCAGAAAAAGCTCAGCAAGACTGGGGAGCATCTGTTGGATTTTCCCTAGTAAATGCTTTATCTGAACTTGCTCTCCCAACTTTTCCTTCAGGAAAGTTTCTTACCACATAGGCTGCCTTCTTCTTCACTTCCAAGAGAATGTAGGTGGACTCTTGGTTTAAAATAACAAGAATAAATGCTGGACATCACCACTAAACACAGTTAAACACCATTTAAAAACATCATTATACATGTTTTAAATAGTATGGATATTGTTCCTTTACTTGGCTTCTCCTAGTATCCCTGGACTTATTTTCTGATAAATCTCTAGTGGTACCTTATATCCTTGCTTGACTTGATTGTTGGAACTAGGCTTCTAAGCAAGGCTTTGACATCTTTTCATAGTAAACAATTCTGTATTGTCTGAATTTTTGCAACAGGCATATATTGCTTTTGTTATAAAGAGGATTATTTTTAGAAGATCAAATATGCAGAAATAATGAGAAGAAAGGAAAACAATCTCCAAGAGGGAGACCAGAAAGACCCAGCTTGTGCACGAGATCATTCTCTGATCTTATCTGAGGAGGTTAACAGTCTATGATGCAGGAACCGCTGGCACCCCCCAACCTGACTGTGGGACCATTGAGAAGGAGGGATTATGTCACTTCTTCCTTTTTTTTCCCTTGGGTAGGAAAGGACCTGGCACGTAGCCAGTACTAAATAAATAAATAAATGTATACATGCCCTAGTGATTATGTTCAAAGTTACATTTCAATAGAAGTTGAGATTTGTGTACCTCTGTAAAAAATAGAAGACCATTAACAAGTGTGAATTCTCTGGTGAAATGAAGAAATCATTAATGAAATGTCAAGAAGCAAACAAGAGGGAGCATTTGAACTAGCTGGCGGGCCAGGGAGGGAGGGGGATGAGGAAGGATATGAATATCTCTGAAGGAGGATTATTAACTCATATCTGGAAAATAGTAGTAGGGCTTAATTGGGATGTCTTTTCATTGGAATAGTGCCCTCCACGTAACCTTTGTCTCTCCCTTCTTGACATTATAGAAAAGACAATGCAATACTCCGAAAAAGATTAAAACCTATGGGTTCAGCAGCAGGCCGTGAAGGAGGGCATTCTCAGGAACAGTTTTAAAGCTAAAATACCTTTTTGTAATAGCCATGAGAAGCTAAAATAGTACTTCTGTATCTTTGTGTTAAGATATAAGACTGAAATAGAAACTTTAGTTATCAAACTAGACAGAAGCCTCAGAGTCCCCAAACTCAAGGATTTAAAATGATTAGAAAGCAACAATGTAATCAGTTCTATAATAGAAATAAGACCATGATTACCCTGAGTTGAGATTGATAATGATTAAGAAAAAGGGCATCAAATTATATCTTAACATCTTTAAAAATTTGCTCTACAGAAAACATATTTAATATATTATTTACTAACATTATTAACTTTAGTTTTATATTTTACACATGATGACATAAAGAGTCATTGTTCTAATCTGGATAGCCAATGAGAATTGTGCCATTTGGATTGAATGATAGACCACCTAATGGTGCCCCACCATGTAATGAGGTCCCCTAGGGAAGTTCAGAATGACTGCATCAGCGACATCCGGGAGCTTGTTAAAAATACAAGTTCATAGGCTGCACTGAGACCTGCTTTGTCAGAATCTCTGAGATAGTTCCTAGGAATCTATGTTTTCATAAACTCTCATGCATGCCAAAGTTTGACAACATTGAAATATGAAGGCAAATGTCCACATTTCTGTACTTGGTAGTATATTTAATTATCATGATAGTGACAGTATAAAGAAAACAAATATGCAACAAATAATTTTTCAATTCTGTTTAATCTTTACACATGATACACGCTCTCTCTATATTGCAATCTGAAAATGTGCTTTTGCTATAGCCTGGAAAGTGTTATATTACGAGCAGCATAAACAAAATTACTAATTTGACCTCAATTTCAAGGAAATCTTTTGTTTCCTACCTTGTTCATTTCTAGATAATATAACAGACAAACAGAGAATACTCTTAAGAACTATCTAAATTACATTGTGCCTTGCTACTTTCCTTAAAAAGAATGCAAATGTTGGCCAACATCTATATTCATTCTCAACAGCACTCCTAATTTCTTCTTCAAGGCTTGTCTTTTTCCCGAAGCGGTTCAATGGAAGATAGGAGTTGCTGAAATGTGGGACGTTTTTCTGGAAGCTAAATAAAAGAAAAAACCCAATGTTTTACATGATGAAACTTATGATTAAAGATAAAATATATAAAATATTTATACCTAAGTCCTGAAGCTAGCTAGCAACTTTTGAAAAGTGGAAACACCATAGACATTTCTACTGAGGTCAGAAACAAGGCAAGGAAGCCCACTATATCCACTGCTCTTAACATTGTGTTGAAGGTATTAGCCAATGCAATGAGAAAGTGAAAGCAATCAGAGGCCCAGGAATTGGAAAAGAAAAAGTAAAAGTGTCTTGATTTGCACAGGGTATGATTGTATACCTGGAAAACACAAGGGCGTCGATGATAGAACCATCCCAAACAATGAAGGAATTCACCAGGAGAGCAGGCTATAAAATTAACATGAAAATCAATAGCCTTCACATATACCTATGGTAACCAGTTAGAAGATACCATAGAAGAAAAACCCCACTTATAATAGCAATAACACCAAAATAAAATACTTTAAAAATGTGCCCCCCAGAATAAGAAAAACTTTAAAACACTGCTGAAAAATACAAATGAAGACTTAAAGATATAAAAAAAGCATCCCTTGTTCTAGACTAGGACAAGTCAGTATCATACAGATGTCAAATTTCCCAAGTTAAAATATAAATAAATAAAATCTCCTCAAAAATATGAACGAGTTGATTTCAAGCTAAAAAATTGATTCTTTAGTTTATAGATTTTTAAAATATTTGAAACTGGCTAGGAAACCTTAAAGAAAGGTGAACAATGAGGGGTGCTAGCATACATGGTATTCAACATATCATAAAGTCTCTATAGAATCACAATAGCATGGTGCTAGCACATGAACAGAGAGATCAAAGAACAGAAGAGGAAGTCCCAAAATAAACCCAAATACATATAGAAATTTAGTGTAATACTAGGGTGGCATTTCACCACCATTAAGGTAGTATCTCATCCCTAGGGATAGGATGGTCTTTTAATAAATAATGTTGCCAACAACTGGATAGTCATGTAAAATGGTATCTTTGGAGCCATACTTCATACTACATACTATAACAAACACAAACTAGACCAGAGACCTAAATGGAAAATAATGAAACCACAAAAATACTAGAAGAAAATCTGAGTGAATTTCATTATAATTTGAGCAATGGGAAAGCCTATCTATGACTCAATTTCCAGAAACAGTAAACGTAAATATTGACATATTCAAGTATGTTAAAAAAAAAACTTTTGCATGGTCAAAAAAACCTTGCCATCAACCAAATGAAAATATAAGCAACAAATGGGAAGAAAATATTGACAACTTATATCTCAGATAAAGTATTAATCTCCCTAATTTATAGAGATCTTTAAAACCTGAAAGAAAAAAAAGGAAAAGACATGACAGTTCTCAGAAAGATACACAGGTGACCCTTAAAAATATGAAGAGCCTCAACCTCACTCATAATGAAAGATACACATATTAAAGCTGCACTAAGATGTCATTTTTCACCCATCAGATCGGCAAAAATTCAGAAGCTTGACAATGTGCTTCACAGGTGAGGTTGTAAGAAGACAGGTATTCTCCTACATTGCTAGTGGGGCAACACCCAATGGAGAGGAATTCGTGTGTTGCTTTTTTTGTAAGAAAGAGAAACAAGAAAACATGCACATATACATATGCTCATTTTTGTGCAAAGAAATACCAGAAGGATAAATCAAAATCTAGTGAAAATTGTGAGCGTTCTTTCAATCTTTTTATGGATTTGAAAACTTGCAAAATAAAATCAAACAAGCCAGAAGTCCTGTTTTTCCTTTTGTTAGTTTTGGTGATGATAATAGTACCTACCTCAGTGTGTTTCCTGATGAATAGATGAGTTCGTATTTATAAAGTTATTAGAGCAGTGCTGTATATAAGCTGTTCAGTAAATTGTCGGCACCTGCATTGCTTGTTTTAGCTTACAAACATTTGAAGACAGGGGCCCAGGGGCTCTGGAACAGGTGCCTTCCCTCAAGAAAGCTTTGTCCCAGTGGTGATGCAGCAACCACCCCGGACACACCTGGGACCCCTTCCAGCCCACCCAGGTGATGCACTTGCCTCGTGCCAGCAGCTGTACATGATCTGGTAGATGGTGTCCGATGCCAGTTGAGGCCGGTAGAGCCTGTGGCCCTGAGAGACCTTCACAACCACCTGGGAGTTGTCATATAAGTCATAGGGCTGCTTCCCCAGGCTGAACACCTCCCACATCAGGATCCCTGCACCATACCGAGAGGTGGCCCAGACAAAAAAGAAAGAGAGCCGATGTCAGAAGGTACAGATGGGGTTTGTGGAATGAGTTTCATGCACCAGGCCAGGAAGGTTATAGGTCAGAGCGAGGGATCCCTGGGAAATGAGTCCCAGTGGAAAGAGCAGGGCATGGAGGGTGGGCCTGTGCCATCATTTCTGGAGCCCGGGGTTTCTTCCTCACATTCCCTGAGACCTGTTGGTCTGTGCTTGCTGGGAAAAGGGTGAATGGCAAGGCTGGCAACAGTGAGAGCTACTTGAGGCCAAGATTCTTGCGGTGCTCCAGGGAGATGGCTGGGGCCTCATCAGCCTTACAGTGACAACTGCCCGTGTAGAGAGCCCAGCACCCATCCTTATGAGTGATTGACTGAGGTCCTCACTGTTTCTGCTCTCTGCCTTAGCAGTTGCGTGCAACAATTTCATTGCACAATCACATTCCCTTTCAGTGGAAATTTAAAGGTAAAATCATTGACAAAATTCCCCCTTCTATCACTGCAGTAATTCATAATTTTTAATGGGTCAGATGCCCCTTTGGGAATCTGATGAAAGCCACTGGCCTGCCTGTTGGGACAGTGAATGCACAGCATTTTGGTGTTTTGTTTCAGGAGGTTGACAGTCCCCCAAAGCTCATCAAGGGCACTGTGGACCCCAGGTTAAGAAATCTCTGTTCTGGTCATGGTGGTGAGGAGGGTGGCATTTGGGGTCAGTCGGAGGTGGCCTTTGAGGCCAAGTTCTGCCTCTTACAGTCTGGGTAAGTTTCTTCTCAGCCTTGGGTCCCCTGTCTATAAAATGGGGTATTTGCACCACATGGACTTGCCATGAGGATTAAATAGGATAAAATAGGGAGAGCACTTAAAAGAGCACTGGGACATTTCAGGTGCTCTCTAAATGGTGGCCATCGTGCTGTGCTGGCCAAGGCTGGAGAATTTCAACAGTCAGAAAGGTTCTAAATTCTTGGAAAACCAGAGAAATATGTAAGAAGGAAGAAAATTGTTCTAGAACCATAACCGAGGTGTTAACTTCAAACCTTCTTTCACTTTAAAGCTATAGATTTTATGTAAAATATTTATAATAAAACAATCTTAAAAGTTCTGGGGGCCAGGCACGGTGACTCACGCCCGTAATCCTAGCACTTTGGGAGGCCGAGGCGGGAGGATTGTTTGAGCTCAGGATTTTGAGACCAGCCTGAGCAAGAGCAAGACCCTATCTCTACTAAAAATAGAAAAATGAGCTGGGCACCATGGCATGTGCCTGTAGTCCCAGCTACTGGGGAGGCTGAGGTGAGAGGATCGCTTGAGCCCAGGAGTTTGAGGTTGCTCTGAGCTAGGCTGATGCCACTGCACTCTAGCCCAGGCGACCGAGTGCGACTGTCTCAAAAAAAAAAAAAGAAGTTTTGGGGACTGCTTTTTTTTAAAAAAAAACACACATTCTGAAACAACCATCCGAAAGAATGCTACTTCCTCACAACTTTCTCTTTGGAAGGCTACACACTTATTTCAAGGATAATATCGTTGCTCACAATATTTGTGGGGCTCCTCTTCGGGAATTGCGTTCAGAGGCCCTGATTCATTTTGAGTTTCTTCACCGGGGACATGTTTAAGAGTGGAGTCAGTGTATGTAAAAAAATTGGAAAATATCTGGAGCCAACTTCTATTGCATAAGGGGAATAATCAAGCAGGGTAAGGCTATTCTTTGATCAAAAATAAGCTCTAAGTACTGAAGAAGGGAATTGATTTTTTTTATCATTAATAAGGTATATCAATTGATGCATGGATACTGAAACTAATTTTGACAAGGTACAAACGTTAATCCACACAAAATGACATCAGGTATTCACCAACATGCTATCGTTGTGATTTTCCCTTTTTCTGTGTATATTTGATTATTTTTTACAATGGACAATGCCACTTTTACAGAGGGAATAGCTCATTTTAAAGATTGTGTCCCATTGAAAAATAAATGACTAACTAAATTTTCCTTTTTTCAAAGGCTGTCTTGCAGGTGACAAACAGTAAATCAAATTACACTATGGACTAAGGCACGAAATAGGTCTCTGCCCTATTTGGATTATTTACCATGGACCCATCTGACAGTGATTGAAAACAATCCTGACATTCTCCAACACAGAAAAATATCAGAAAATGTACAGACTCACAAATTAAGAATTATTTCCCTTTTCTAATTACCCTTACTAAATTTTAATATGGATCTTTTAATAAAAGAGGAGTCAGCAAACTTTTTCTATAAAGGGCCACATAGAAAGTATTTTTGGCTTTTCGGGTCCTGCAGCATCTGTGGCAACTACTCTACTTTGTTGTTGTAGCACAAAATCAACCATAGAAAATACATAAATGAACAGGTCTGGCTGTGCTCCAATAAAACTTTATTTACAGAAACAGGACACCGGATTCGGTTCTGGACTGTGGTTTGCCTACCCTGATCTAAAATATAAATTTTAAAAGGAGAGGAGACTACTTGAAATTAGGTATGAGCCAAAGAAAGTACTGAATCATGTCTGGTGTTTATTCTATGGATGCCCAAAGAATTGGTCAGATCAGAAGGGAATGGGTATCGTGGTTGCTCTCATGCAGAAAATCAATGACTTCATTTTATGCCCTTCAACCTTCTGGACTTTGCAAAAACTCAGATTCAGTTTTCAATGACTTCTTTAAAAAAGCTGTTTGAAATCTTCATTGGAAAAGCTTTTAACCCCTTTGATTTTTTTTCAGAGACTGGGAGGGGGGCAGTGTCTCACTATGTTGCCCAGACTGGATTCAAACTCCTGTGCTTAAATGATCCTCCCATCTCAACCTCCCAAGTCGATTTATCCCCTTTGATTTTATGAGAAAGCACTAGCAGGATATAAGTTACCCAATGTGTGGAAGACATCGTAACACCTGACCCAAGAAAGTAAATCATCTTCTTCAGCCTCTTGCTCGTCTCAGGCCATACGTGTAATTTTGTAAATGCTCAAACGCCCTTTTAAAATGGATGTTGCTGCTCTTGTGGTTTCCTGTTGTGGAAACCAGCTTACGAAACAGGGCCGGGTCCTGTGTGGCCACATCCTTACCAAATGCCCATACATCGGACTTGCTGCTGTATTTGAAGTAGTGAAACACCTCTGGAGCTGACCACTTGACTGGAAACTTTGTTCCTACTGAACTGACATACTGGTCATCGAGAACATACCTGCAGGGGAAACACACGACACAGACCTTAAGCTGCAGTGGCACAGACTGATGAGGGGACAGAGCCATCTAGAGTCTCAGCTGATGGCTTCAGTTTTCTGGATCTTTTGCTTCCTTTCAATGTGTGGGCTTAGCTAGAGGCCGCTTAGGATTTATAAGCATTTAAAAAGTGATATGCAACTTTGAAAATAGCAAAACCTGAATGCAAAATGGTAATATAGAAAACCACAAAAATGTAAAAATAAAATCACTCAGAAACTCACCCCAAAGATAACAGGCAATTCTGTCACTCAAAATACATTTTTGTTTGTACTTTTCAGTCTTTTCCCCCACGTGTGTAATTTGAACAAAATTGGATTTCTGTTGTGTTGAGATTTGTTTTTATTTTTCCTTTAATGGCATATCATGAGCGTTTTCCCACGTGGTTACATTTTCTAATACACCATCATGTTTCATGGCTGAACAATATTCCCTCTTATGGGTTAATATATTAACAAATTAAACATATTTAACCGTGTAAGTTGCTTCTAATCTTTTGCTGTTATAAACAACAATGAACAAAAATATCCTACGGAGATATCAAAACCATCAAAATATATGTTCAAGGATGTTCACTAAACCCTTGTTTGTAATAATGATAAAATAGAAGCAACCTCAATGTCCCCATGTTGAGGAGTAATTAAATATGTTATGGTAAACTAATATAATAGAATAGTATGCAGCCATTAAAAATGAGGTAGCTCTATATTTACCAAAATTAAGAGATCCTCATGGTATATGGTTACATGCAAAAGTAAGCACGTGTAATGTGATTCCATTTTTGTGGGAACAAACAGTAAAATGTGCATATTTGTGTATATAATTGGGTGTACTTAAGAATAAGGTCTGAAAGAACATCCACCAAACATGTTAGCAGTG